ATAAGACTAACTAAACTGCTTACAGATAAGATAGATAAGACTCCTAGATAAGACGAACTAAACTGCTTACAAATAAGATAAGAGTAAGAAAGCAGATAAGATAAGGATAAGGTAAGATGAATTGTGGCTAGCTAGATAATCTGATGAGGGTCCCACGTTACTGCTGCTGCCGACGGCGGTGCTTCTTCCCCACGAATGCGTCCATGACATCAGCCTTCCAACCTACTTTATGAGCCTATTCCCCATTCCCTCAAAGGTGGCAAAGGAAATGGGAAATATATATATATATATATATATGAGAATTTTTCTTTAGAAAGGCTGGAAAGATTCTCACAAGTATCATTTAGTGAGCTGGGAGCAAATCTGCAATCCCCAGTCACAAGGTGGGCTTGGAATAAGAAACCCTAAGCTTTTCAACCTTGCCCTATTGGGAAGTTGGCTGTGGAGATTTTCATCAGAACCAAACAAACTCTGGAGGAAGGTGATTGAGGAGAAATATGGCTTAAGGAACAATGGATGGGATGCCGGTAAGTGGTATTCCCTCTGGCACCTATGGTTGTGGGGTGTGGAAAGGAATTTGTAAGGCTTACAGGCAGTTCAGCAGTGGTGTTAAATTTAAAGTGGGAGATGGAAGAAAAACCAGATTCTGGTTAGACCAGTGGGCTGGTGACAACACCCTAAAAGAGCTGTTCCTGGCCCTGTACAATGTGGCTGTAGATAAGGAAGCCTTATTGGCCGATTCTCTGTGTCTCCAGGAAGGCAGGCTATGCCGGGTTCCTCTCTTTAGGAGAAGTTTCAACGACTGGGAAATTCAGCAGATGGCAGATTTTCTTAATCTGTTACAAGACCAACAGCTAAGTTTTCAGGAGCATGATTCAACAGTCTGGAAATGGTCAAAATCTGGGGAATTCACAATCAAATCCTTCTACAATTTTCTGGTGGGGAGGCCTGAAGCCCCTTTCCCAGCAAGGCCACTTGGGGGAACTTGGCTCCTCCAAAAATCAAGTTTTTTGTTTGGGTGGCAGCGCTGGAGAGGTGTCTGTCCAAAGAAATGCTGCTGAATAAAGGTCTTAACCTGCCAGATTGGAGGTGTTGTTTTTGCAATATGCAAATGGAATCCTCTGATCATCTCTTCCTTCATTGCAAGTTTAGTTCTGCAGTATGGTCACACTTCTGCAAATCCCTAAATCTAAGCTGGTGCATGCCAGCCTCAGTTAGAGCTCTGCTAGAGGAGTGGCATATTCAGGGGCTGTCGAAGAAAGGAAAGTTATGCTGGGTTTCCATCCCTCGGGCAGTTATGTGGGCTGTGTGGTCAGAAAGGAACAACAGGATTTTTGAGGAAAAATCTACTACTGAAGCTGAGGTCATTAACTTGGCAATAGAAGTTTTGAGAAGTTGGATGTCTATACATAATGATTTTAGAGATAGTATATCTAATCATACTTTTTTTAGGATGGCCTTATTTTGAGGTCCTTCATTTTGTACAGCTTCTCTTTGTACAGAGGACCGTATATTAATACAGTCATACTTTACCTTCTTTCAAAAAAAAAGGAGAGATGGAAGAAAGCAGATGGAGCTTTATTTGGGGGCCTTGCCATTTCTACATAGACAAAGGGAATTTTTAACTATGGACATAGAGCCTGGGTTGTTTTTTTTTTATTATTTCTTTTGAAGGGCTACACAATGGAGGTAGCCCATAACCCCCCCCCCCCCAAATCCAGGTGCAGGCGGGATTCGGTCCCAAGTCTCCGCTACAACCAGCAGGAGATCTTACCAACACACTGGGTTGTTCTGGCATTATCTTTTTATTTTATGCCATAACCTAATCTTTTGATTTCTATGATTTAATAAAAATTTTCATGGATCTGTTCATGATACCGAAAAAATGTCAAAGGAGTTCTTTACTCTTGGTAACATGCTAGTTTTAGATGCATATACTTTTTGTATGTTAGGTTATTACTTACTTTTTTATGTTATTCACTCTTTCATTAAAAAAAAAAAAAAAAAAAAACACCTTTTAACTTGATTGTTCTCTACAGGTTATATTACTTAAACTTATTATAATTTATTTTCAATCTTCTTAGTATATGGAGTTCACAGTACAGGAGAAAAAACAGCATGCAATAGGTAAGATTTGGGGACTCCGGCAAAGTAGTAGGAAGAACGGGAAGACAATATCCCTAATCTTTCTCTAACATAGCTGGTGAAGTGCTGCCCACTTTTCAAAATAGGAACATAACACCTCCATGCTTTTTCTTTCAACTAGATGGAGTTAAATGTTTTCCACATTCATGATAAAGTTAGATATTATCAAAATGAAATGATAAGGTTTGGTATTCCAAGTTACAAAACCACCTCCTGTGAAAAGGGAAACTTGTTATCTTTTTTTTTTTTTTGATAAATGAAGAATTTATTAATAAACCACTGATATAGAATACACTTGGAGAGGTACAAGCTGCAACCTCTCCAACCCATCAAGAACTAAAAAAGGATTGCAATTGAGCCCAATACAGATTTTCCCTATTAGCCCCTTGCTTGGCTAAACAATCAGCCATAGCATTGGCAGATCTCCCTACCCATTGTATTCTAACATCCAAATTCTTCGTCAAGCATTTGTTTAAGTTCATTTTTGAAGCACCAAACTGTAGTCTCTGGTTTTTGTAACCACCCCACAACCACCTGAGAATCACCTTCCATTAGTAGCTGCTCCACTCCTAGCTGTACAGCAAACTGTACCCCTTGTAGTGCAGATAATAGTTCTGCCCTGGTGGAGTCCCCTTCACCTAAAGGGCCAAAAAACTGAAAAATTACAGAACCACTTACATTCCTTATAACCCCTCCCATCCCAGAAAGACCTGGATTGCCCAGACTACTACCATCAAAGTTTAACTTCATGAAACCTTCAGGTGGGGGTACCCAGCTCATGTGCATCTTTGTCTTCAGAGAGGAACTGCTTGCCACTTCTGCCCAATGCCTCCACAGGTCATTAAAAGAGAACTGCCAAAATAAATGCAGAGATTTTAACCACACTATAGCCCTGTATAGGATACATTCCTTCAGATCTTGTTGGCTTCACACCTTCTCTTGGAATATTCTGGCATTCCTTTCTTCCCACACTGTCCAAAAGGGAAACTTATTATCTTCTGCAACCATTTTTATGACCTGTGTATTGAAACATCATTGCTTTTGTATGGAAATAAGAGAAATATGGTGATAAAAAGGGCTGATGCCAGATCCAGTGAAGTAGGAAGCAGGTTTTCTTAATAATAGAGTATAAAGTTTTTCCTTTTGTGCAAGATGGGAAGGGAAACAATGTCCCCAGTCCGTAGTCTTTACATGATGTATGGTCCATCATGGCACAGAGAACAAACAAAAAGAAGGCTTACTCTTCTATATGCCGTTGAATTTCTCTCAAATTGGGGTTTGTTGTCTTCCATTTTCATATCATTAATAAAATCTTTGATAATTGTTATCAATCAAAAAATCTCTGCTTCATCATTTTCTTTGATTTTCTTTCTTTTTTTCTTTTTTTCTTTTTTTTGGGGGGGGGGTGGGGGGTCAACTAGTCAATGCCTAGGCACCAAACTATAGAAATTTCACCAACAGACAGTATAAACATGGAAATCCAACACCAATCCTGGTCCTTCTAACCCCCAATGCAATTTTTCTAGGACCAAAAAGGAAAGGTTCAATGCATACTTACAATTGTTCAATTAAATTTGAGCAACTCAGCAATAAATAGCATATCATGGTCTTAAACATCCCTACGTTCAAATTAAGGTAGGGAGGGGGCTCAAAACGTAGTAGACAAGTAAAAAACATAAGAATATCTACTTCTTAATCATTCAAAGTATCAAAGCATCAATATTTCTCTCTAGAAAGCATTCTGAAAATCATTTCAGAATATCAAGGGAGAAGGGAAATACCGATCAGACATTAGTGCAGTGGCAAATCAGCATATTTTTTCACATATTCTCCCCTTAATCACAAAATATGTCTGAACTCCAGAACCACCAGATTTTGGAAGTCTAGGCGATAACATTTTAACTGTAAAATATTGCTAAAGAAAAAGTGCAACATCTTTTTTTTTTATTGGAAAAGGTAAAAGTGCAACATCTTGATTTTCGCATATAATGTTCACCAATATACAAGAACTACCACATTTTATTTTACCGGCATATCATAAATCCCACATAACTCAAGTGAAAAGTAAGAAATGCATGGACCTCCTTACCTTCTTTTCCTCTGACGGCTATTGCACGCTCATCTCTGTACCTCAAATTCATAAGAGCATTTCCTGGAGTAGGCTTATCTACCCATATCGAAAATCTCCAGATGAGAAACTCAAGAAAAGCATCAAGTTCTGGCTCATATTGAAATAAGAATCCTGGCTAATACAAACAAAGATAAAGAAAGAGGAGTGGATGTCAAATGAAGCAGCAACCAACTTTCCTTTATCCAGTAGGGCTTCGGAAGAAAACAATAACTAACAGAAACAGAACACACCTTCATCAAAGAGAAGACCTTAACTAATTGCTCTTTCAACATCGCAGACATTTCAACATCCAATCTCGCCGCATCAACCTGATTAACTCTAGATATGGAAACTGGGATAGGTGGCTGCACAAAAAAAAAATACTAACGCTGATTCAGAACCACCAAATCATAGCCATCAGCAAACTCATTCCGCGTACAAACAAACGAAGGTAATCTGCAAAAGATGACACAAATCCCCCTCCAAAAGGAAAAACTTTACCAGAATTCATAAAGGAATACAAACCAAGCCAGAAATTTACAAATAATACAACAGATGGGAAGAGGAAAACAAACAAAAACTCAAGCACCAAAACTAAGTTGCATAAAGACCAGAAATGGAGCATCAAACAGGAAAACCCAAATGCATAAGTTGTGCACGGAATTCTCATGGACAAGAGAGGAGAGAGAGAGAGAAGAATTAGAGTAAGAAAACAACCGATGGCACCTGGGAAGAATCAGCGAAGGACTTCCATTTCGCAAATAATCGCTCATAAGCATGAATCCAAGCATCTTCCGGTGGGGGATTAAGAGTCGAGGAAGATGATGAAGCTGCAACTAGGTTTTCTCTCTCCATCTCTTCAAATAAATTATTTAATTAAATTAACAGATAAATCGAGCAACAAAGGTGAAGAAAGAGCGAGGCTCCTGCCTCCTACGAGGAGAAGAGAGACGTCTACTGCTGGCGCTAGTGGCAGAGGCCAGAAGAGGGACACATTTATATGTAATTCAACCGAAAATGAAAGGGCAATTTGGATATAAAGTAGGAAATAAAGGGTCTTTTAAGTCATTTTATAGATGTCTCTAGCTTGGTTGTGACGGAGACTTAGGATCGAATCGCGCCTTCGCCTTCGCTGGATAAGCTAATCACGGTGGCTGTATAACCATAACGCCCCCACGTCAGCCCTTCACGCGAACTCGCGAAGTGAGAAATGAGCGGTGGGAGAGCTTCAGCGTTCATTGATCTGCGTTGACACTTCGAAGAAGCTACCAAGACTAGTGGCACCGCCCGTTTGAGAGGGCTTTAGGCTATGTTTGGTTTGAAAGAAAATATAGGAAAAGGTAGAGAAATTTTTACGAACCTTGTTTTGTTTTTTCTGTCTTTTCTTTCTTTTCCCTACCTTTTTCTTCAAACCAAATATAGTCTTAGCGTTAGATTGGGTGCTTCTGAGAAGCTAATAAAATGGCTTTTATGAAAAGTCAATTTTTCATATCATGAAAGCTTGTTTTCGACTTTTGGGATTTTCACCAAATACAGCTTTACGACTTTCTATGTGAGTGTGTGGGATCGGGCCTACTTTTGCAATGCCACCATGAAAGCCCTCCCAAATGAGTTTTAACTTCATTGGGGAGTCATTTTTTTCAGCTTAATGTTAGCATTTTTTTAGGCTTATTGGGCTTTCACTACATATAGTTTCACAACTTTCCATGTGAAGCCCACTTTGAATCGTCCCAACTTAATCCGATTTACGGGCTTATGCCTTGGGCCGTGCCAAGCTGACCCCTCAATGTATCCCAGGGGAGAGAAGCATGGCCCGACTTGACCCGCAGGGCGGCATGGCAAAGTCCGCACTTTGCACGAGCATGATCTGATTTATACCTCTAATCCGATTATCATATTTTTAGATGAGGTGTTTATGTAATCAAATTAATTTAGATTTTGATACATTATTACTATATTATCATATATAATTGTCATGTGAAAAACACGTGTATGCTTACTAGTATTTTGTAAAACCCTATCCAGAATGCCATGCAACTCACACCATATCGTATAAAAAGAGGTTTTCAAAAAGCAAAACTCTTAACCCTCATGATAAGCCTCTCTAAACAACGGATTCCACTATGATACGTAAAAGATATGATATCTAAAAAACATTGTACCAATCAACTAGTCAATGTGTTATTTATTAAAATTCATGGGTGGGTATTGATTAGAGGTGTAAAACGAGTTGTGCTGCCCTCCCCTGGGTTAACTTAGGGGATCAACCTGACACGGCCCACAGCCCAAGCCCGTGCGGGCCCGTGTCGTGCATACCGTGGACCAGGCTAGCTCGTGGGCCAAGCCTTGGGCTAGGTCGGGCCAAAGTTATTTATTTAAAAATGTTGAAAAAAAACTTAAATTTTTAATTTTATATGAATTTATGTGTGCAGTTGCTTATATATACAATAATTAAATAAATTAGTACAATAAATTGAAAACATTTGTTTATTTTATTAACATATTATATACTATATTATTATATAATTATAATTTATACAATATTATATATAAATAATATATATGGGTCATGTCGTGTGTCATGTCGAGTCGGGCCACTAGTTGGGCCGTGTTGCCATGCGGGCCACGAGCGACATGGTCCACCCGGTCGTGATGTGCCAGCCCGACTCGTGGACCTAAAACTCCAAGTCCAACACACCCACACAATCGTGTCAGGTCTAGCATGACCCACATGCCATTGTGTCAGGTCAGTCCATGCCGGGCCACAGACGGCACGACCCAATTTACACCTCTAGTTTTAATTGGTCAAAACTCTTTCCATATATTTTTCCCTTAACAAATTAATTGGAGTTGTAATCTTTGATTCAAACTCTTTCCATGCATCGTACAAGTACAAAGATGATGAATAATTGGGTTTAAAAATAACACTCGAAAGTTCCTCATTTTTCCAACAATATATCCTTAGTGTGTTTTATCTATTTCTATGTATTATATCTCGGAATCGCTCAGTGGAGACGTCTTGGTTTCAGCCAGTCTAAAACAATACAACAATGCCCTATAAGTGATTCATATGGCCATCCCCAACCATTGGCAGCCACCCAGAAGTGACCGCCGGTGGCTTGCGATGTCATCTACATTAAATGTAAAAGCTGTAACGACTAAATAATAACAGTAAAAAACAGAGCATGTAATAACTGTAAAACAGAGAGAGGTCCGGTCTAGAACAATATAACGGCGGCCTATAATTAATTTATATGACCATCCCAACCACCGGCAGCCACCCAGAAGTGATCGCCGGTGGTTGGCGATTAATAACTGTAAAAAAACATAGTATCTAATTAATAATAGTAAAAAACCCGTAAACTAACAGGATTGAGACAATCTACTAAAATCAATTCCCAGAGATTTATAAGCACTTTCAGTCGTATTTAACAGAGATTAAAAAACAAAACTACTCCCCTTACTTGTGCAATCAGTTTCTCTAAAACTAATTGGAAACTATTCTACAAAAATATAGAAATTGAAGTTATGTAAATCAGTTTCTGAACACTAACCGGATTGAATCAGGTTCTCTGAAATTACAGCAATACTTTGAATTCAAAGTTTCTTTGTAATGCAGTTTGAAGCAGCTCCTATATTGAACTATTCTCCCGTTCCCTTGACTTCTCTGAGATTGCAGGCTTAAACAAATGTTATTCCTGGCCGTTCGAATGAAGGTTAACTGAGTTTCTCTGAGTTGTATATTTCTTTCAATCTAATCGGATTGAATCACCGCTTCTCTGAAGTTGCAGCTTGAGGAACCCAATTGAATTTCTGCTTTCTCTAAACTTGCAGTCAGATTGAACTCAATATAGAATTGCACAGTTGCAGTTCGAATGATAGTATTCAAACCTGGCCTTCCAATCGACTACATGCTACAATGGAATGAGAGGTTTTGGTCTGCTGAAAAATAGGTATGTGACCTACTAACTATTAGACCTGTTCATGGGCCGGGTGGCTCGACGGGTTGGCCGGGCTCCCGGTCGGGCTTGAACAGGTATATAGGCCCATGAGCTTAACCTCGGGCCAAAAAGCCCGGCCCGCAATAAATTCGAGCCGGGCTCGGGATTTGCCAAAATAGCCCGGCCCGACCTATAATTAAACCTAAAAACCCTAGTCGAATACCCCTCTTTTGTTCACCTCTTTCCCTTATTTTTCCAGCCGAACCCTTATTCTCCACATCCTTTTTCCCTTCTTTATATTATTTTTTAATGTAAATAAGTTTTGAATTTATATTATTTTTTTAATGTAAATAAATTCTAATTTATATTGATTATTGAATAGGGAAAATTTCTAATTTTTTTTATTAGGTCGGGCTTCGGGCTTTTTATCAGGGCCTGGCTCGGGCCCAAATTGTAGGCCCGTTGGTCGGGCCGGGCTCAGGCTCGGGCCTAACATATTTCCATTAATGAAGAGTAAAAGCCCGGCCTGAGCCTGGCCCATGAATAGGTCTACTAACTATGTAACTCTCTCTACATGCAGTATTGTATGACCACGTGTGCGAATGGGGAACTAAATAAATTCTCTCGTAATTAAGTATTGTAAGGCCACGTGTCTGAAGTATTGTAACTCTCACAAATTTTGGTATTTTTTATTGCACTAATTTGCAGTTTGTTTGTTATTTTACGAGTTAGCTATTTCCTAAAGTTATCTATTCAAATTTTCACTTTCCTAATTTTTATGAAAGGATTGAGAGTGGGGGCTTCCCACTTCACATAGCATTGTGAAGGGCTCAATTATACATGTTAGTGGGTTCTATTATTGAAAAACAACCAATCAAAAGAAAAGTACTTGTCTAATTTATTTAACAGTTTGAGTACAGGTGTCTAAATAGAGCAGAACTACGTGTCTCACTAGGGGAGGCTTTAGCCTAAAATCATTCCTATATATAGTAGCAGTAATGTAGTTATTAATTAACGATATTAACAGTAATGTTTAATTAACAATAGTTATTAACATTAATGTATTTGTTAATTAACATTATTATAATATTTTTAAATAAGTAATAATATTTATTAAAAACAATATTATTTACCAGTAAATATTTATTAAAAAATAGTATTATGTAACAGTGCATCATACAGAAAATAACAATAATCATTTTTTAATTAGTAGAAAATTTTATTTAATTAAAAAATTAACAATGCATCATACAACAATTATTTCAATTCAGCATGAATAACAATTTTTATGATCAAATCATCCTTGAATGGTGAGTTAGAGGAAAATGGTCTTTTTCATTTTTCAATTATATTTTTGCTTTTTACATTTTAAGTGTGGCAGAAATCCCAATATCGAATATGATGACAAAGGGGTTTAATGGAAAAGTAAACCCTTATATCATTTGTTGAAGGATAAAATTTCAACAATATTTATAATATTACAGACTTATAAGACTTATTACTGAAAGCTTAGACATATTTTCAGAACCATTATTGAAAAGTAATAATATTTTCAGTAATTCAAATTTTTAATAAGTATATCGAATTTTTAGATTTTGATATTAGTTATAATAAATATATTCAGTAATTATTTTGATTTTTTATATTTTGGTATTTTTATTTTTATTTTCAATAATTTAATATTTCAAGACAATATTTAAAACCAATTATCATCAGAATTTTCAGAATTTAAAGCTACTAATTTCACCAATTATCAAAACTATTATAACCATTTCTCACAATAATTATTTTAATTTTTTGCTGTTTGATATTAATATTTTTTATTTTCAATAAATTCAGATTTCAAAACAATATTTAAAATCAACCTATTCTGGTTTTATTAATTGGTAATTAATCAATTATATTAATTTATGAAAATGTTAAAATTTGAAAACAATAATTACTCATGAGAATAATTAAAATAAGTAATTTCAATAACCATTAACAAATTTCAGTAATTTTCAATACTTATTTTGAAATTTCAGGTTTCAAAATAATTAGTTATCAT